TGTGTGTATGTTCATATTATAAATACATTTTGGATAATTAGTTTGGAGAATAAACATAATGGAAAAATATTAGATTCAATTCAGTGGTTTTACATCACGAACGCATATATGTGCATATATAGTTGTAGTCAAAATTATTCATCCCCCATTGAAAATCAGGTTTATTGTCAACATTTACAGACTTTCAGCTGTTTGCAATGAATATATCAAACAAAAGCAACTTATTAACTAAAATGCAACTTATAAAGACTTCTCCAGTCTCATAATTATTCAACCATTTCAAGGCTAGCATCTTTAGTACTTAGTAGGACACTCTTTTGCTGTTATGACCTGCTGCAAATGAGATGAATAGCCAGACACCAGCTTCTGGCAGCGTTACTGAGAAATCTTAGCCCATTGCTCATGAGCAATGGCTTCAGAATCAGTCATATTCTCGGGTTTGTGTGCTGCAACCTTCTTATTTAAATACCAGAGTTTTTCTATGAGGTTCAAGTCAGGTGACTGTGCAGGTATCCAGTGCCAGAGTATGCAAAGCAGCCCCAGGGCATCACTGAGCCACCACCAAGCTTAACTGTAGGCAGAGTGTCCCTTTCAGCACTTGATTAATTCTTGTTCATCTAAACATACTGCAGATCCATTGGGTTAAAAGTTCCAGTTTTGCTTCGTCGCTCCACAGAACAGAACCCCAAAATGTCTGTGGCTTATTTATATAATTTTGAGCATATTGGAGCCAACCTGTTTGTGTTTTTGAGTCATAGTGGTGGTGTCTTGGAGTTCTGGCATGAAAACCTTCTGCGTTTAGTACGTGCCTTACTGTGCTCACTCAAACCTCAGTGCCTGTTGCCACCAAGTCTTGCTGCAGGTCTTTTGCAATCACTCAAGGGTTTTTCACAATCTGCCTTCTCAGAAAACTGTTTTAAGCCTTTGATAGCTTCACTTTTTCTGCCCCTTTCCAGGTAGTGTAATCATTGTACCTTCAAGTTTGAATGTGCAAACTATGCTTCCAACTGTGTCTCTAGGAATATTCAGTGCCTTTGCAATCTTTTTGTATCCTGTTCCTTGTTTGTGAAGGACCATTCTTTGACTATTTCTAACATGCAGTCAAACGTGACACACAAGAAACCCATATACAGTTCAGGTATTAGTGTTCAAGATTAAGCACACATGGTGTAACTAATGAAGCCCTTGATTAGTTGCATCAGGTATGCTTGAGACAACACCTGTTTTGCATATTTGTTCTGTTGTGAGGGATTGTATTCAAAAGGTTGAATAATTTTAAAACAGGAAAATTTGAAAAATGTGGAAAACACATGAAGCATTTGCTTTGTTGAGCTATTTATGTTGCATTTGTTTTAATTGTTCATTGCAAACAGCTGAAAGTCTGTAAATTTTGACAATAAACCTGATTTTCAAGTTGAATAATTTTGATTACAACTGTATGTAGATACACACACAATTGTAATGGATTAATTTGTAGTATCTATTCACAAGGTTAATTTATTTATAAATTGTTGCTACATTTATGTGTTTTATACGATAATATAGAATTATATTTCTATAAACAAACATATATATATAGTTATTCATCTATAACAGTCTATATTTTCAACGTGTTATTTTGTACTATATTAGAAATATTAGAGCTGTGAATGAATATATTTACTTAAGCTAGACATGCACAGAGTAAGTGAAGGGACTTCACAGTTTAATTCTCTCTAGCAGAACTGCAATATTGCTCATCTAGACATCTAATTTAGACTTGTCCTGCTCATTTTTCAATAACTTGCTGTTAGATTGCTTTTAGACGTGAACATACCACACAATCATTACAAATGCCGCAAGCACGCAGCTTCAGGACAAAATGCTTCTTTATGATCACCACCCAATTTTCTACATGTACACCAATTATCTCTTTGGTTGGTTCTGCACCTGTTACTTTACTCATTGAACAGTTGTTGTGTTCTCACTTGCTATGAAAAGTAATAAACTTATCAGGAGAGATGCTACGGAACAAGGTCCCAAAAGATTAAATTCCATAAGTTCAACATAAAAATTGGATATTTTAATGGAAAATTATGCTACTTTAGAAGAGTTTGATCCCACAGAAACAGAGAGCGTTTATGAGTCACTTTGGCTTTTGATTAAAATTTTAAAACCCAAGACTCTAATTTGGGATTTTTCTTTACGGCAGAGAAAAGGCGATGTCCATTTTGAATTGTCATAATATATGTTTCTTCCATCACTGATGCACAGTAAAGTCTTGTTAATATTACATTCAAGTTAAATCACAGAGATGCTGTACCTTTTAAATCCATTTAGCCATAGTAGCAACAAGCAATGTTTGCAACCACTCTCTACTTTTTATACCTCTCCTCACTCACCATCACCGATTTTCTTATCGTTTCACCTCAATATCTAATAACTGGTTTTCTCTTCAGAACTAAACAGTACCAAACCTTTTACACTGCAAGTAACCAGACTTTAAAGGAACACCCCAAGCACCGTAACCACTACAGATGGCTTGACAACTTAACTGAGCCCTCCAAGTGATGATTATATCCTCTAATGGAGGCTGGAACACTGAGCTAAGCCCTTTGGACCACTGGAAAGTTGCAAACAGTTTGGCTACTTACCCTGTGAGGACACAAGGGCACTTCTGGTACCATAATCACTACAGCAAGGTCTGGTGGATATGTTGCTATGAGCGTTTCTTTAATTCTTTTTTGATCCAAAGACTACTTCTTCCAACCAGCTCTCTTTTTTGTCTCTATCAGAAAATGGTACGTTTCTTCTAGTTAGTATATACCAATTGTGTTTGTTAACTGTGCAAATATTATTTAACTTCGGTCTTCTATCTACCAATATGTTTGTTTAAAGTTAAACTTAATGAAAGGCACATTGGGAAGCAGATTGGTTTTGGCCAACAGCTTGATTCCCATGGCCAAAAGGAAGACATCTCACCACTTTAGCACCAATACTGGAATTTAAATTAGCTTTCTGATCGGCAGATGGATATCTTATGTACGTTTCTTGCGCACTGAAACTTATTCTTTTAGTTTGTCTGGTTTTCTTATTTTTCAGCCAAGGATTACACACAAACTGAACCACAAAAATCTCTATTTTTTATGCAGCCAAAGACATAGGAAATGTGTTACCACGACCCCTATTGTGTGCAACACGATTACTAGCACAGTATATTGCATCCTTCTGCACTTTAGCTCACATCTAGTACTGTTTATAAAAATTGAACTAGACATGTCCCTGGAAATGTGTGCTCTGGTAAATTACTAGGGTAGCAAAAGCAATATTTCCTGTGAGAAAAATTGTAAAAGAGCACCAGTTTTCTCTAGAGAGCCTCAATGCAGGAACAACAAACATGACTGAACAAAAAAAAAACCCCATAAACCCATAAGGACGAAACAATGACAAAAGTTACAAATTATTCCTTCTTAATAAATAATGACACGATTTTTCATTTTCATTATCTTTAAGCCCTGACAAAGCTTTTTTCTTACATTTCCACTTATTGGAGTATATGTCAGTTTTAGTCATTACATGTGTATTTAAAGCACTGTGAACACGAGGGTAAGATAATATTTTGAGGGTTGCAAGCTCCTGTTCCTAACTGCACATGCTGGCCAGGGAGATGGAGCCAGAGTCATATGTACTTACTGTCAATGCTTGCTTAACGAGTTGCAGAGAGAAGCCAGCAGATATCATTGATCTTCTGGCTTGGGTTTGAGCCCGAACGTTCCTTACGTTGGATAATTGCTTGTGACAATCTCTCCATGTGATAGCAAATAAAAAGCAAACTAACTAGTTCAGGTCTCTGCTTTCACTTACATTTGAGTAATTTTAGAGGCGTTTTACTACATATATGTAAAGGAAATATTAGTAAATCCACAGGAAAATTATTGCAAGAACACTCCAGGCTACAGTTTTAAGAAAAAAAAAATATTAGATATATATAAATAAATATTTTTTACTAATCAAATTTAAAGTAAAAATAAAGATAAAATGATTATCTACATCTGCAAATCTACTTCAGCAAGGATGTGAAAACGGAAGTCATCCAAGCCTAGTCCTTCCAATGTGTGCAAAACTTAACATTTAGCCATATGGGCCTCAATTTAATTAGCGCTGATCATGTTTATTGGTAGTTTATAGGCTCCCGATAATCAATTTATCAGTTTGGAACAATGAAATTACTGCCGGCAAAAGTAAATAATTATAATTATTTAAACCAATACCACTGTACTACACACTATAAAGACACACTTGTCATCTGGACAAGCAATAGCCCCTGTGCTGCCACCCATGGACATTGGGTGGGACTTAAATTCAAATATTGGGGAGTGGATAGATCACGGTCTCCCCTAAAGGCTCTATTAAATAAAAATAAAAAGCAGGGTGGAATATCCAAGTATCCCACCCAGCCTCCACCAATGGGCTAATATAATAAATGGGAGACCAAGTGTCCCATGGGCTGTACATAAGGGCTATTTGAAAAATACAGAATGGGGATGGGAGTAGACATGACTTTATCTTCTCCATTCATGCACACAACCTCTTATTGCTTGTTGAAAAATTCCCTCTACCAAACTTAACAGCCCTCCTTTGATTCTTAACAGGCATATTATCCATAACAATAACAGTTATCTAACAATTTTATTTTAACCATATCTGTATTTTTGGATACAAAGTTCTTCATAATATTGGGCTCCCAGGTACACTCAGTTTGCCTTATACGATAATTATTTCCAGTTGTGAAATAGCTGGGTATGTACCAGCTGTGATAGCTGTTTAAATAGCCTCACCTCAGGATCATAGGTTAATTTCCCAGCAGGACAGACTGAGCCTTTCATACGTTTGAGTTAGGTGAAATGAGTTCCAATAAGTTGCGTATTAAGAACATCTGTATTCCAGGACATACTTGAAATAGGAGGAAATCACAATATATCCTTCCTGGAATAATGCTTTGATATTATGATTATTGTAATGTGTGTTTCACGTTAGTAATACAATAATGTAGGAATTGGGCATGTTTCTTCTTCAAGTAACGTAGACAGGATGCTTTCGTTGATGTGGAATAGAGCTCTGAATATTGGAAAATCAAATATTGTCTAATCATTTGATTTACATACACTGGTCTGTAAGCAGCTGTATATTTTTTAAGATGGTAGCGTTCTAATGGTGGAACATTAAAGAGTACTATGGGTGTATATCACTACTAAATATGAAAAAAACTTTTTGAGCTTTTATGAAGCAGTAAGAGATGTTAAAAGACATGTAGGGCATTATGTTAATACCATGGGACACGTGTGACAAGAACAATATTTAATATTAGTAATCTTAAAAATGTTAGTGAGAGCAAAAAACAAAGTGCAAGAGAGTACTGAGAACGGACAACAGCTCAAATAGCTTGCATTTTGGTGGGTCCCTGTTTAGATTTCAAGCTGGTTTTAGCTCATCTTGTGCCATTACAACTTAAAAATGTTGTGTGGTTAAAACAAATATATTTATAAAGGATATAAATAGAGGGGCCAATATATCATAGACTGTAAGCTCTTTCGAACAGGGCCTTCTTCACCCTGTGATTCTGTTGTATTCTGTATGTAAATAATTTTTTGTCATATTTCCCTATTTTATAATTGTAAAGCACTGCAGAATCTGTTGGAGCTGAATAATTTATAATATTATTTATAATATTAAGTCAAATGTACAATGTGATGTTAAACTGAGAAAAGAGTTTCTAGTCTAAAAAAGGTAAAAGTGGCATTTTATACAAAGAGGTGACAATTCACAAAGTTGTATACAGCACATTACTTTGAGAGTACACAATACACAATAAATGAAAAATAAAAAAAAATAAGTCATTGAGTAGGAAGGACTTCTCAAAAGGCAATAGAGCTATTGTTATCCAGTTTGCAGTGATAAACTTATCTCTGGTGATAGAATCCAGCTCCAAATCTGTTTACAATAATTCATAAAGCTTCCCTTGAGAATTCACGTATTACAGTTTATCCCTGATCACTCTACCTTTGGACCCTTGCAGTTGTCCCTTACTCCCTCCACCTGCACCTGTCACAGCTGAATTGTCTAATGCTGAATTTGAGTACTGTAAGAAATAGAAAAATAAGATCTGTAAAAGTGTAATTTATTGTTTGCTTCCTCCACAAACCAGGCTGGAGTTGTTATGCTGTTTAAAACAGCATTCCTTCATATCACCTTAAACCCTTCATTGACAGAAAGGCCCTTGGGACGCCGGAAAGAGAAGAGAAGGGAAAATGCTTAATGGTTTTACTATAGCACAGTGCACTTTTTTGTTTTGGAAGTTCTCAGAATAGTGTTAGAAGCCTGAAGGCACCTTCATTTGAATGAACCAAAGGGAACCTTACGGCTTAGCACGGTTTGGTACATCTAGCACAAAATGTTTTTCAGGAGACCACTTATGTTGGCAGACTGTTTATTCTGAGTTTGCAAAGTCACTTTCTCACTGAAGATTTCCCTTCTATTCGGATAGGGAGCAAGATTAAAATCCAAAAGCATTTGCATGACTTCCAAAGAGTTGCTGTGACTCTTTTGCTTGCACCAAAAATGAGGCTTACTTAGTATTCCACCAGGCTTTCTAGTTTTGATATTATGCTACTGAGGTCAAATGGTAGAGGCATGGAAGTGTCCTCATCTGTCCAGTGTGGGCGACATACAGGTGCTTCATCCCGAGGCAAGGTCTTTGCTAATTTGCAACAGCACCTTCAAAAACAAAATATATAGATTGTGAGAGGTACACATAGTTACACGCATGACTAATCAAAGGAAAATAGCAAATACATAAAAATATAGTAAAATAACAGAGTATGTCAAAATTGGAAACATTAGAGATTAATATAAGGTGTGGAACGTACCTACATCATAATGAATGGTCATTAATTAAAAAGAGGAACTGGATCTAATCTTTTTTTATAAAAATGATACTGTGATTTAAAATCAAACCTAGTAATGATTTACATCCTGACCTCTGCAAAAGAAAGGTTTAAGTGTTTTAATAATGCATAATATTTTGAGCTACAGATAATTTCACCTACATAATTTGGTAACATAAAGGCTTGTAGATTTATAGATGACTAACAAAGTGTTAACCTGATATTTAATGTGAGGATTGGGGAAAAGGGTATATGTACAGATATTTGGAACATATCTGTGTAAGTCCTTTTTGAATGCCTTTTGCTCTTGGTTGCAAGTCCAAGTGGTATGTGGTAGAACATAATCGAATTACAGAGGAAACTTGGTAATGATACCTGTAGTTATGCAGAGGCATGCTTGCAGTCAACATATGACCGGATGTTGGGCAAGTATTTTATTACAACTTTTTAATATCTATGGTTTCCCCCCAAGTTTTCAAATGTATTATCAAAAACAACCATATAAAAAATTATCATAGGTAAAGCATGAAATAATGTGAAATGTGCAGAATGCATGAAATAAACAAAAAATACAGGAAAAAAAAGCTTGGGAGAGTAATGCAGATAAGAATTACATTTTTATTAACTACACAAAACTTAATTCTGCTATGGCAATGTATGGGTTACATATTTGCCGAGAACAATGGTCCTCTGTCATGTAATTATGACAGACTCCCTTAAAAGTCATCTTATTACTATGATGAAAAAAATATATTTAACCTATTTGCACCATAAAATAACATTTTTTGGACAGACCAGGAAACATATACACACTCGCTACCATATTAGTTCATCATGTTTATATGCTGTTGCATGCCTATGGGAGAGACTCCATAGTTCATACTGTCTATTGCAATACAGACGATAACAATTTTTACTTTTCAAAATCCTGGGTCGATGGTTTGGTCAAAGAACAAAAACAAATGAAAACTTGGCTTTCAAAAACTCTGAGCTCAACAAGGGTTTATTGCTTGGAGATTTTCTGCATATATTTTTCCTTATGATCGGGACATATCTTTATCCAAATATATATACAAAATTTAAGAATTAAGAAATACATTAAAACACTGTCCTACATTCTTGTGAAATTTTACATCTTTTAACATTTGCTTGATCCTATTTTGAATCCAAAAATATAATTATCCAAATAGCTTGTAGAATGAAGTATGGCTACCTTTTGTTATTGGATTCATTATTTTAATTGCCATGCTTGGTTCCTGTCATATTCAGGGAATAGCAATGGTCTGTGTGAAATATGTAGCTAGAATCTTTACGTGGCGATATATTATGATCTGTTGTACTGGTGCAGACAATTTACTGACAAAGAATCTATTACAGACCATTTTAGATACAATGCACTTCCTTTGAAAATTTTACATGATATAGAACTCCAACTAAACCTGACTTGGAAGAATGCCACCATAAAATACATAATACCCAATGTATAAATATATAGCATCAACAGTAATATTCCATCGAATCTCCATTTAGTCGCATCAGAGCAAGACTGAAACCAGACCAAAAAAACCCCAATGAAAATTGATTCAGTAAAGACCTATGAATTAATTCTTCCTAATGCAATACTACATGCAATCAAAATAGAATTCCTAAAATATTATACATGGCATCACGAATATATCAATCATTCCTTCAGTTTAATCTGCAATCAGCAATGGATATGATTAGTACCAATATAATCAGCTAATGAAACATTTCTGGATCACATATCACAATCTATTAAAAAGAAAAAAAAAAAGAAAACTCAAAGGAAAACAAAAGCCATAAAATTAAGGAACAACCTTCTAACTCAACGTAAAAAATGAATTCTTCTTAATGGTTCCCGTCCCCGGGGATTTATAAATGGACTTGTAACTTGTCTTTTGGCACCTCCTTAGCCCATGTCGCAGCTTGCTTTATTGCCTCCCTGTAGTTCTGTACACTCAGCCCATCGTACATAACGCATCTTCCTTGGAATCACCATATAACATTCTCATATATCTCATGCGCTCACGATTCAGCCTGAGATAATAGCATCTGTTAACATGCACTAAGTACTATCACAGAGCACATCACTTCATAAATAATAAGATTAGCCGACCTGCAGGCCCCCGCAGGAAGAGTAATGAGTTTAAATGTTTCTCATTAGTTATTTAAAACAAAGGGATTAAAGGGACAGGGAGTTGGTAATCGCTGGTGCGCCTGCTGGCATAAATATCATAGCGATTGTGTTGAGATGCTGCAATGGGTATAGACTTTTGGGGAGATTAAGAGCCTGTTAACCCTTTCTCTTGTATTCATTTCCTGGAGTTCTGCAGCATATGCTTGAGGGTGGAAATAGGGTAATATTTTTTTTATATAGCACCAACAAATTCCACAGGGCAGGTTAAAATGGGAAGAAAGATTTAAAAAAACAAAACAGACAGACCTACACCAATATAGAGTTTATGAGAGTTCTGCCTGCACACTTGCAAAATTATACAAATCATTAAATGATTACACTCTAGATACACTGAACTTGCAACTATACTCGAATATATTCACCCTTTTTAAATAAAGTTGCACATTAAATACATTTTTTGTAACATATATATACTGTGTAATAATATGTATATATTATTTATATACTTCATTACTTGAAGGGAAAAATTTTCAAGTAAAACAAAATTTTATTATATATATCCAGTGGGACTTTCAGATCCAGACAGATAAGCAAGTACTGGCTAATCAACCTGGCATTGTGGTGGTAGACAAAGAACGGAAGACTGCAGTCATGGTGGATGTGGCAGTACCCAAAGACTACAACATCAGCAAGAAGGAACATGAGAAGATGGACAAATACCAAGGACTGAAAGAAGCGCTAGAAAGGATGTGGAAAATGAAGGCAGTAGTTGTGACTCCCAAGTTGGGGGAGTGCCTTCAACAGGTTCCAGGTAGGAAATCTGAGCTTGCTGTCTCGAAGAGTGCAATTCTCGGAACAGTAAAGATACTGTGCAGAACCCTCAGACTCCAAGGAGGGGTAAAAAAATAATTTTTTTTTTTTCAAATATAGAGGCAATGCTTCTCATAGAGGAGCATTGAAACCAATGATTCTGTATAAGAAGCACTACCTTACACTTTAAACTGCAGTTTAAAGTCAGTGAGCCTGGAAACCCTTCGGGCTGTCTGCTTGACAGCCAGTAGATAGTACTATGGGGATTTATAAAAGCGCTGATTTCTTTGGAAATCTGAACTTTTATAAAAATAAG